TTCAAAGGTTTCCCGAACAGACATTTCCCCTGAGAACAAACCCTGAGTGATAAATGAAGAGATGGCTGAAGATGAAGAGCGATGGCTTTCAGTTCTCATTTCAGCAGACTCTTCATTGCAGCGGTAGTGACGCTTACAACACCCCTGCCTTTTTTTGTCTCTTCATTGATTGTTTGGCTGTGGGCTAATATAAAGGTTTTCCTGCATGTCAGTCACCTGTCAGGTGCAATCTCTCCCAGCACATGGCTGCCTGTCACTCTCATGGGCTTCCCTCGCTGCTGTCAGTCAGTCTGCTGCACAGGGGGCCCGAGGGGTGTGTGTGAGTGTGTGTGTGGGGGGTGAAGACACACAATGAAAACAAATCGCCATGAGTGATATGAGGGATACAAAAAAGTCTTTCCTCCCGCCTTGTTTGCCGCTGGAAAGTTGCTGATGTGTAGAACTTGAGATGTTTTTGTCAGTAAAACTACAGACAACAGTGTAAAGGAGTTTTCTCTGTCAGGCGCTGCTTTTTATCTTAAAATTGCATTGTTTGGCATTGTTTCGCTTGTGAAAAAAAAGAAATGCACGTCAACATATTTGTTAAAAAATAATAACAGAAATAATAATGACAAATAATGAAAAAGTGAAATCTCTTCTACTCATCAAGGCTGTATTTATTTGATCACAAATACAGAAAAAAGTGTATTTTCTACTTTAATACACTTTAAACTGTAATTTATTCTTTCAATGCAAAGCTGAATTTTCAGCATCATTACTCCAGTCTTCAGTGTCACATGATCCTTCTGAAATCATTCTGATATACTGATTTATTATCAATGTTTCCAAACAGTTGTGCTGCTTAATATTTTATTTGGAACCTGTGATACTTTTTTCAGGATTCTTTGATGAATAAAAAGTTAAAAAGAACAGGATTTATTCAAAATAGAAATATTTTCTAACAATATACACTTACGTTCAAAAGTTTGGGGTCTGTACATTTTTTTATTGTTATTTTTTGAAAGGAATTGTTTTATTCAAAAGTGTTAAATTGATAAAAAAGTGATAAAGATTTCTGGGGGTTTTTCTGTATTTTTGATCAAATTAATGTAGCTTTGATGAGCATAAAATACTTTTAAAAAAATAATAAATAAATAAACATCATTACTCCAGTCTTCAGTGTCACATGATCCTTCTGAAATCATTCTGATATACTGATTTATTATCAATGTTTCCAAACAGTTGTGCTGCTTAATATTTTATTTGGAACCTGTGATACTTTTTTCAGGATTCTTTGATGAATAAAAAGTTAAAAAGAACAGGATTTATTCAAAATAGAAATATTTTCTAACAATATACACTTACGTTCAAAAGTTTGGGGTCTGTACATTTTTTTATTTTTATTTTTTGAAAGGAATTGTTTTATTCAAAAGTGTTAAATTGATAAAAAAGTGATAAAGATTTCTGGGGGTTTTTCTGTATTTTTGATCAAATTAATGTAGCTTTGATGAGCATAAAATACTTTAAAAAAAATAATAAATAAATAAAAAAAATTTAAATCTTACTGATAAACTTTTAAACGACTTTTTTATTTAAGTGTCAACTGAGCGTAATGTTTAAGTGTTGACACAATTGAAATTAAATAAAATGTTTTAGAATTGTAATTAATATTAAATGCAAGTAGCTAAAACCTGTGCTTTTTTTAACCCATCCAAGATATAGATTAGATTGTTTCTTCATTGAACCGATGTGGAGACGTTTGTCATTGCATCACTTGCTCACCAATGGATCCTCTGCAGTGAATGGGTGCCGTCAGAACGAGAGTCCAAACAGATGATAAAAACATCACAATAATCCACAAGTAATCCACACCACTCCAGTCCATCAATTAATGTCTTGTGAATTAAAACCTGCATGTTTGTAAGAAACAAATTCATCATTAAAACATTTTAACTTTAAACCATTACTTCTGGCCAAAATATCAGTCCATAATCCATAAAAACATACAGTATTTGTTTACGGTGCTTGGTTTGTGCCTATTTCTTGCCTGATTCAGATGAGATCCTTTTTCACTGGAGAAAGCAATATTATGGACAGAGGACTAGTATTTTAGGAACAGTTTGAAGTTTAGCAAAAAAAACAAACATTTTGATGGATTTGTTTGTTTCAAACATGAAGTTTTTGGCTTCACAAGACATTAACAGATGAACTGGAGTGGTGTGAATTACTTGTGGATTATTGTGATGTTTTTATCAGCTGTTTGGACTCTCATTCTGACGGCACCCATTCACTGCAGAGGATCCGTTGGTGAGCAAGTGATGTAATGCTACATTTCTCCAAATCTGTTCTGATGAAGAAACAAACCCATCTACATTTTGGATGGCCTGAGGGTGAGTAAATGTTCAGCAAACTTTCATTCTTGATTTATTACTTTTGAATCATTAGTATTATATTATCACTAGTGCTGTCAAACGATTAATCGCGATTCATCGCATCCAAAATAAACGTTTTTGTTCACATAATATAAGAGTGTGTACTGTGTATATTTATTATGTTTATATAAATACAAACACATGCATGTATATATTTAAGAAAAATATTATGTTCATGTATTAAATATATTTATGTATAATATGAATATATAAATGTATATACATGTAAATATTTTCAAAATGTATAATATAAATAAACACAGTACACATACATATATTATGTAAACACAAACTTTTATTTTGGATGCGATTAATCGCGATTAATCGTTTGACAGCACTAATTATCAGCAAGTACAATTTATTAAAAATATACTTTTAAGATATGAAGTACACTACAAATGTGCATTCAATACAATTATGTACAATTCTTTTTTCAATTTGTTTTTGCACTCCATAAAGTGGATGTTTGAGTCACGTCCTGTTTTTGGGAAATAAACTGAGCTGCATTGATGGCAGGTTTTCAAATTCGTGTTGGACACACTGTCCCCAAGTTTTTCCGTCTTCCCACAAGCTGAACGTCTCTGTTCTGTTGCGGTGAAATCTTCTCACTGAAAGACGCTGAGATGTGCTTACCGTCACAGGGCTAAGGGTGAAAAGTAGAGTTGGAAGACATTTGAGTGAGAGTTGGATGATGAGTTGTGGTGAGAAAAGTCTCAGGTTTTGGAGCGGAGGATGTTGACTCTTAACTAAGGACGGTTGACTCTTTCCAGTCGTTCTGTGCCAGAGACGTGACACAGATGTCAGAATAATGACTTCCTCACAGCGTTTTATACATTAGCATATAGCTTTCCTGTTACCTCGCCATGTGATGGTATGCGTGCAGCAGCAGCGGACTGTTGATTGAATGTTATTATCACGTGGTGACATCTTTATTGGGATGGACTGTAATTATAAGATCATGTCATTATTTTATTCACCCTCATGACATTCCATGCATAAAGATAGTTGATACGATTCTTCTGGGTAGGGTTGCACCAGCTGTTTGTAAGGTTATACTAGGTAGTTAATAAGTACTAGTTAGTTCTGTACCAGTACTACACCTAATTTGGATGTACCATTTGTTCTTGAAGCAATATTTTAATAGTCATTTAATGTGACATTTACATGCATTGATCCAAATATGCATCCACAATAAGTGTTTAATAGATCATCAATAACAATTTAACCAATTTCAGTTATTAAACTTATTTTGCCTCAGCTGTTTATGGTAATTGAACTTCCATTGAAATATATCCACATGCAATTTATTTATTTTTTTGCATTTAATGCGTATAATAATGTAATACTCGTAAATGTATAATATTTACATTTTCACATGCATTTATAAATGTTATAATTAATGAATACTTTAAGAATTAGTATATTGAAATATGTGAACAATATTAAGGAAATTGTGGGGGGAGAAAATATATTGACTTTTTTTGCAAATGTATTTATCACTTATTTCAATGATTTAGAATGTTATTAAATTTATATATTGGACTATGTAAGTAATATTCAAGAAATGCATTTAGGAAAATGTGTGATAGTTATATATTTTGCAAAGTTATTATTTGTTTGAAAGATTAATACTTTATAAAGAATTGGTATTGGTACGTATTTTGATGGTTTAGAATGTTATTAAATGTATATATTGGAGTATGTAAATAATATTGAAGAAATGCGTTTTAAGAAAATGTGTACTATTTATGTTTTGCAAATGGATTGTTTATTTCACTTAATACTTGATTAAGAATTTGTATATTGAAATATGTAAATAATAATGAAGAAATTAGTTTAAGGAAATGTGTTATATATATATATATATATGAATTAGTATATTGAAAAGTGTAAATAATATTCCGGAATTGCATTTATTAAAATGTTTAATATTTAATAATGGATTAATAATTAGGGTATTTGAAATACACATTTAGGAGTTGTATTCAAGAAAATACTATAATTTAAAATACTATAACTAATATTTAATTAATTAATTAATTAATTTTGCTAATTTATTATAATATTCAGGAACTGTTTTTAAATTAAATAGCAGGTTTGTCCTGAGGAACTGCTAACAACTTTAATGGTTAAACATTCAAATATTTAGTAGGACATCATTTGAATTATGATAAAAAAAAAAGAAAGAAAAATAATTTAACTTGAAAAATGACATTTGAGAGCTATGATCTGAGGAAAAGATTTTCAGTGACTTAAATGTCAGTTCAGTAAACAAGAGCTAACATCACTGCCCTAATCTCTTTCATAATCCAACTGTAGAGTGCATTACCGCAGTATGATGGATTCATATACTGTAGAAATGGCGCCCAAGCTTGTAGAAAGAAAATTAAATCTGGCTTTCGGCTAGACCAACAAGCCAGACAGACACCAGTGGATGTTTATGTCAAAATAGCGATCAAATGACGAGAGAATAAGAATAAGAATAAGCAAGAAAGAATGAAAGACTTGTTCATGAAGTACTGAGAGAATTGTTTCTGCTCGTTTACTCGTTTCCCATTTATTTATTTATTCCTTCTCTTCCATTCTCAGATCCTTAAGGAGTTCAAGGATGAAGACTGGAACATGGGAAACATCGTGTACACAATGACCAACAGGCGATACGGCGAGAAATGCATCGCTTACGCCGAAAGCCACGACCAGGTACTGCCGTCCGGAAACCTCCATTCCTCCGGTGTAGAGTCAAGGAAAAGTAATCAATATGTCATTGGGAATGGAAATTGGTGTCACAACAGGTTGTAGTCCTCTAGGGACAAGGGTGAAATGAGAAATGAACACATCCATCCTGTTTGTACTCATTCTAACACCACGGCTAGAGCCGATTGTTGTTGTTGTTTTTTTCCTGTCTTCCTTTCTCCTCTTTGTTTTTTCCTCTGTGTAGTGTTTCCAAGGTCTGGGAATAATGATTTGTTCTACTCAATATGAGACACTTAAGTGAGTCTGAGTTGAAACGTGCTAAAACTAGTAAAACTTTACTTTGACACTTCATCACTTACATCAATAGACCAACTGTTTAGCATTGCAATAAAGTTTCCATCAGAATGGCAGATCCTATGTGAAACTGCATAGGATGTGTTAAAATATTAATGGACGTCAGGACCTTGTCTTGGTGGTTGCAACATACTACGTTGTGGTGCTTATGTAGGAGGTTTGATTATTATTATTTGTTTAATTATTTCAAATGTTTAAGTATATATTCAGGAAATCTATCTATCTATCTATCTATCTATCTATCCATCTATCCATCTATCCATCTATCCAGCTGTCTATCTATCTATTTATCTATCTATCGTCTATCTATCGTCTATCTATCTATCTATCTATCTATCGTCTGTCTGTCTGCTTTTTATTTAATTTATTTATTTATTGCAAATTGAGCATTTTCTATTCAAATACAGTTTGCAACATTTACCTTAGTGATTAACATCTACTTCGTCTAACTTTACTACTTCATTTCTGTCCTGTTTCTCATAATATCAATCCATAAAAGTGTGACAAAAAGGTCAAATTATTATTGGATGCTGTTTGTTAAGGCAAACATCACTATTACTGTTGCTCATACTTTGGTTTATGGGCCAATCAATTTACTCTACAATTTCACCTTCAGTGGTAACATGCAGTTTTGCATCATTAAAATTAGGACAGTATTCATTCTTGTTTTTTAGTGTCCTATTTTTGTGTAGAACCGGACAAACGGTAGCTGTTCCCCTGTTTTTCCCCATTAACAAGTGCAACCAATCAAAAGCTATTCATCAACCAGCAAACATTTCACCGTATGTGAATTGTGTGTTCATGTTGTTGATCTGCTATTCTGTCAGGCCCTGGTGGGAGACAAAACACTGGCCTTCTGGCTGATGGACAAGGATATGTACACCAACATGAGCGCTTTGATTCCCATGAACTCCGTTATTGATCGGGGCATCCAGCTCCACAAGATGATCCGACTGCTTACCCACGGCCTGGGAGGAGAGGGCTACCTAAACTTCATGGGTGAGTCTTTGCAACAAAAAAAAAAAAAAAAAGGCCCACATTTGGACATGTAGGACGTTGGTGGATTATCTTTGCAACAATGTATCAAAAAAAACAAAAAACTAGTGATAACAAAAGAAACGAAAATGTCTTTTGATATCATTAGTCAAGGTTGCTTGCATAAAAACTGCTGTAATTTAGTTAGTTAGAAGATAGGCCTATACTTTGACCTTTTGTGTTTATTGTTGTTTGTCTTTTTGTTTTTTATTGTTGCTTTGCTTTGTATTTGTTGTTTGTTTTGTATTGTTTCGTTTTACTTTTTGTTTTATTTTAGTTTGTTTTTTGTTTCGTTTCATTTCGTTGCTTTGACACATTCCTTGAATTCAGTGTGCCATTACTTTTCTTTAGCATTAGAGGCATATCCTGTGTTTTTTGTTGTTACAAATATTAGATATGTTAGATAAACCGTTGTCTACCATACAAGTATCATTGAAAGTAGCTAGTTTTGAACACAGCAAATATCTGTATTCCCCCTGACCTGTCCCACATCAGAGGTATTGACCTTCTTGATTTTACCCTATAATTACAATATTACAACATCATTTGATATAATAACTCAAATATGTATTTTTAATAGTTATGAATAACTACAAACTATTTATGTTCCCAGCCTTGCTAGTCCTAGTTTTGTCTAAATATACAAACCTGTTACTGCCATTTTTGCAGCTTGTTTTTATTTATTTATTTATTTATGTATTTATTTATTTTTTGTTTTATTTCATGTTTTTGTTTTGCTTTGCTTTGTTTTTTTGTTTTGTTTTGTTTTATGGTACTTTTTCATTTTGTTTTATTTTGTGTTTAATTTGTGTTATTTGACTTTGTTTTAAATTCTTAAATTTAAATAATTTGTTTTAATTGTTATTTTGTAACACATGCCTTTAATTCTAAATCGACATTATGTTTACATAGTACATTGCACTATATACACATTACATTGTGCATTGATGTTGCTTAGGCCGAATGGGCTATTGGGAAATGTTAACCAGCTGGATTAGCCTTTTATAGGTATCGTTTTAGCAAGCTCATATTCAGATCTTGCTGCAGTCTGGTATTTAATTCTGTCTTTTCAAAATCCAATCACTATTGTATATCATTAATAGCGCCATTTTGGCTTGACACATCATCGGATGATTATTACAGCTATTTGTAATATTTATGAAGTCGTGATTGTTACTGTAAGTGGTTGACCATCAGCTTGGTCAATAATCAGCCCAAGCAGTGTACTAGCCCCACCTACTGACCAGGTGCTGACGCTGTACTGCCACATTACATAAATGAACTCACCGGTTCTGTTTAAAAGAGACAGTCTTTTCCCCAGCCAAGGCTATATTCATATCACACACACGACCCAAACCCCACAGATTAGCTTGTGTTTGTGAGCATATGGGCAGACTCATCCATGATGCACACAGGAGTGCTGTTATTGTTTACTGCTGTTCTTGTTCTGCCAATACCACTAACAGTAATGACAGCTACAGATGTGGACTGCCTGATGTAGACACTTTCTACTCTTCACTTGTAGTATATCTGTAAAAAGCTTTTGTCTGCTGACTGAAATTACTGTCCTAATGGTGCTGTGCCCCAGCTGAATATATATTTTTCAGTCGGTTAAGCCTCTGAAAGCCAAAGGCTAGAAGGAATGTAAAGGGACAGTGGGTATGTTTGCTCGAAAGAAAACATACTTTGTTCAACTCTCTAAAAGATCTTCAGATGTGACATGTAGCCATCATACACGTTTTGAGAGATGTCAAAAACGTGACAATTTTTATAATTGTATATTTTATTTATTTATTTTGTTTGTTTATATTTCTATCATTTTTTTATGTCAAAAATATCTAAAAACATGACAGAATATTAATTTATTTTATTTATTTGTTTAGTTATTTTTTTTTTTGTCAAAGAGATCTAAAAAAACATGACTATTGCTTTTTTATTTTATTTTTATTATTTTATTATTTTTTATATTTTGTATTAGTTTTATGCCAAAGAGATGTCAAACACATGACTATTTTATTTTATTTTTAATTTTTATTAAAAAAAAATATTTTACTGTAGTACAATCCAGGATGTAAAACAATGATATGTAAAAGCGAATGCCCTCTATAGAGGACAAAATGAATTGTGGGGACCCAGGATCTTTAAGATTTATCTGGACTTGAAACATTCCTCCCATTTAAACTTTTAGTACAACAGGGATGAAGTACTATGCATTATCCACATTTCTGACATGCTTATTCCTGAAAAAATGACATAAAAACGTCTTACAAAATAATTAAAAGATAATTAAAAGGTTCAAAATTAATCATCAAATCTAAATTTTAGTTTTCTGTCTCACTTATTGTCTGTTCATTTTTTAAAAGTAAAATAAATAAATACATTTTGCTCAAAGTTGCCTATTCATGCTCTTTATAAAAAAATATCTTAATTTGTGTTCCGAAGATGAACGAAGGTCTTATGGGTTTGGAACGACACGAGGGTGCGTAATTAATGACAGAATTTTCATTTTGGGTGAACTAAAATGACTTGCGTTTTACACACAACAGTTCCTGTTTTTGCTCACCAACGAAAACGGTTTCAAACAAGCCACAGCAGAACTGTTTGCGTCTCTGACTCACCGCTGTGTTTCCTTATGCCGAGTTCACACTGTTCAATTTTAGCCCTGATTTTCACATGCTTGACAGGTTTTGCAAAATCACAGACAAATGCTTGAAATCAGAGGCAAATCGGTGCTCGTTTACACGAGTGACAATCACGCAGTGTGAATTATCAAAGACGAGATCTGAGAGAATCGCAGACGCGTTGCGATGCCTGTGAAACATTTGGCAAGCTAAATATCTGGACCTGGGTCGGCCTGCTGTGTGAAATGAGTTTTGACTGAAAAAATGCATTGGTTTTGATGACCTACAGCGAATGAGAGAGCAAGATACGGGAAGTTCGGGGAGGAGTTATAGACCACAATACCAGCAAGCATGTCTTCAGTCCAGAGAAAGGCTCCTTCTTGGTCTATATAGACGCAAGAAATGGAGGAATATTTGGTCGACTGTTTGTATTGCGAACTTCTTGCGGGCTACAATTTTAATGACATTTCCAGTCTTGCACGAGAACTCTGATCTCACGTGTGATCTTGCATTATTTCCTTATCACTTCTCGCGTGCATTTTGTTGTGAAACATAGTTTCAAGCTAAAGTAAAGTAAAAGACCGCTTCTTAAACCAGAGAAGTTGAAGTCCTGTCACCGACAGCAAGTTTAGTTTTACTTTTCTTTTTGTTTTCATTTTGAAAAGCTTGTTATCTTTGCTGTTTACCTCGCATTACGCTATTGAGGCTTTCTTTTATTTTTTTTATAATGTTTGCTAAACATTCTGTAATTTATTAGTCGGTGTATATAATACAGCATGCCTCATCTTATTCATTTTTGTTAATAAACGTTATGTAAGCTAGTTTGTCATTGTAGCCTACATTTTTATTGTTGTGCTTTTTAATTAAGAATAACAATGAATCTGTCTTTTGTTTTAGTCTTAAATAGTGAAAGGTGTATAAATAGCAAAACAGACAATTATATTTTCTTTAAAAATGTGACAACAAGATCGCAAATTCGAAAGTGAAAGCATCCAAATAACATCCTTATAACACAGCAAAAGAGGAAATCCCATTCACAAAATTCAAATCACAAATAATGCTACTGTTGAAAAAGAACGGGTTGAATGTTAACTACTTTCATTACCATATAAGTATAAACTATGATAACAGTTAATCAGCATGCATTGACTAATCCCATGTTGTAGCAAAATAATAATAAATAAATAATAATAAAAAAAAAAAATTGCGACCAAACCAAATTATGTGCTGATGCGACCAACTGAGAAAGTTAGTCGCAAAAGAGCGACCAGTGGGAGGAATGAGTCTAGAGCCTGTTTAAACAAATCAGTGGAATGAATGACTCAATAACTCATTCATGCAGTGACTTGCCGCCACCTACTGGCAATTTAAATTTTATATTTAAAGTATATTTTGCTCTCTCTTTTTTTCTTTTCAAAATCATTTAAAATATCAGTATTCAACATTGTTTTTAAAACATCAACACATTATTTATAGATTTGTAACTGCAGGTTAAATGCATTCATGTCCTTACATTGCAAAGATAAATTGTGTTGATACTGATGTCATTTGATTGGTAACAGCCCTTTATAATATATTACTATTCAAATTGAATTTATTGAATAAATGTAAGAATTTGACACAGAGGATAATGCATGCATTGAATAAGGTTAGAAGAAATTACCCTTGTTACCATCATATCCTGCCAAGATAGCACAATAACACACTCAGCAAAATATTGTTTTATTATCGTTATCAACTAAATTCCACTAAATATATTCCACTAAAATATATCAAGATATAATTAATGCATGCATTGAATAAGGTTAGAAGAAATTACCCTTGTTACCATCATATCCTGCCAAGATACCAGCACAATAACACACTCAGCAAAATATTGTTTTATTATCGTTATCAACTAAATTCCACTAAATATATTCCACTAAAATATATCAAGATATAATTTTTTTGTCATTATCTCACACCCTATTGACAATAGACAATTCACGGAAAATGTAACTAAAAGATTTCTAATATGAACACACCTTAACACACAACCCAGTAGAATGAAAATATATAGATCTAGGTTTGTCATATAATTAATATGTTACCTCTGTTAAGACAGAGCTGGAACAGAGGAGAATAAATAAAAGAGACAGGCAAAGAGTGCTCAAACCTGAAAAATTGAGTGCGAGATAGAGGAAATGAGCATAATTGGCTGGGAGCTTGCGGTAGTCATGAAGTCCAAAGTCATTTCCTAAACAAATGGCTGTTGGCCTGTTTTGATATTTGTCATGATAAAGGCCCAAGTAACTGCATTTTCATTATAGATTTATTTAACGTAAAGAGTGGACTCGCGTTCAGCTCTAAATGTGTGTTGTGTTTGTGTAAGATGAAGGGGAGGATAAACTAAACTGATTGGTCTCTGAAAATGGGGTTGTATGTGATTCAGCTATAGGTCATCGGGATTAATCCTGAATCACATTTTAAAATGATCATCTCATCTAGCTCAGTGTTTGCGTATGCTAATGGCTGCTCGTGTTTTCCAGACAACCTTGTTTCAAGGCCAGCTCTCGACTATCTCTAGTGCTTTACATTGAAGGTCCTGAAAGACTGTTTTCATTTGAAAAGGAAGAAGTTGTCTCCTCTTCATAAGAAGTTGACTGGTTCACTAAAATATTCTAAAGTTATGACCCTCTATTCTGTGCTTAAATCCAAACACAACTAAACCTGAATACGAAGTGCTTAGTAATAGTCATTATGAAATTTTGGCAACTGAAAATGCATAAAAAATATTTTGGATGACAAAATCATTGACCAAATTAGTGGCGCTTAATTAGTGTTTCTCCAATGGTGCATTTTGACTTTGTCAGTGTCCATTTCATACATACAGTGTGAATAAGCTACAAGAAGTAAACATGTCAGCTAGGACTGGGTTTTCAATATTATTTTCTCAGTTTTAATCAATATTTACTTTGATGAACCAATATCTTTTATTTTGGATTCAATTTACATTGAAAGTTGGATGGTGGAGTTGGAAATGACGTCACACCCGAGTTGGAAAACCAAGATGAATGTGTTAATTGTTGCCAATAAAAACACACAAAAAGCAGTATTTTGCACAGATAATGTTGAAATATCATGTCTACAGATACAGTTAAGGTCAGTTAAATTTGCATAAACCTTGCAGAATCTGCAAAATGTAAATTATTTTACCAAAATAAGAGGGATCAAACAAAATGCATGTTATTTTTTTGTTTATTTTATTTTATTTTGTACGGACTCATATGCAACTATTACAGTAGGTTAAAATGCTCACTGATGCTCCAGAAGGAAAAACGATGCCTTAAGAGCCGGGGGGGGGGGGCTCTTAAGGCGTAAACGATGTCTACGTAGCAACAGTCAAACATGGTGGTGGTAGTGTGATGGTCTGGGGCTGCTTTGCAGCTTCAGGTCCTGGACGACTTGCCATAATTGACGGAACCATGAATTCTGCACTCTATCAGAAAATCCTAAAGGAGAATGTCCAGCCATTAGTTTGTGACCTCAAGCTCCAGCGCACTTGGGTTATGTAGCAGGACAATGATCACAAACACACCAGCAAGTCCACCTCTGAATGGCTCAAGAAAAACTAAATTAAGGTTTTGGAGTGGCCAAATCAAAGTCCGGACTTAAATCCGATTGAGGTGCTTAAACAGTCCATTCGCGTTCGAAAACCCTCCAATGTGGCTGAATTAAAACAATTCTGCAAAGAAGAGTGGGCCAAAATTCCTCCACAGCGATGTGAAAGACTCATTGCCAGTTATCGCTAACACTTGATTGCAGTTGTTGCTGCAAAGCGTGGCACAACCAGTTGTTAGATTTAGGGGGCAATTACTTTTTCACGTAGGGCCAGGCAGGTTTGGACAGCTTTTTTCCCTTAATAAAATAAATAATTATTTAAAAACTGCATTTTGTATTTACTTGCATTATCTTTGTGTAATATTAAAATGTGTTTGATGATCTGAATCTTTTAAGTGTGACAAATATGCAAAAAAAAAAAAAAAAAACAGGAAGGGGGCCAACACTTTTTCACACCACTGTGTATATACACACACACAATATTTAGGCAAAATAAGAAAAATGTAGACATGTATATATATTTAGTACTGCCCTTCACAAGCTACAGAAGATGCTTGCATGTTTCCCAGAAGACAAAATAAGTTACGTTTACCCTGACCTTCAAATTCAAAAGTTGTCTTAATGTTTTCTTTCTCAAAAGGCTCTTAATGCATGGTTTTTCTAGTCATTGTTGGAAAGGGTTCAAATACACAAAAATGCTGAAAAACAACCCCGCGATTAAAGATGGATTTCCACTGTAAAATGTTGCAAGCTTGATTTGAACGTCTAAGCAGCAAGGCTCAATGCATGTAATCTAACCTCCATAGACTCATGTTCATAATTTGATTTGCTGTAGCTGAATTTAGCAAAGTTATGTACTTCCCCATCTGTTTCTATTAAATCAGCTCTGAAATTAACGGCTGTATGACTTTGCACCATGGGATGTTTTTTCAGCTCTATATCCAGCTTTTAATCAAACACTGACTTTGAAGCACTTCACCATGACGAAGCAAACACTAAGCTTTGACTACACCTTCTGCTTCACTTCTAACTGTATTACACACTCTTTTCCCTGGCATTGAATTTCTGTGTGTGTGTCAATTGGGAATCTCATCTGCCAGCGTGAGGCCTGCGCCACAATGCAGCTCTCCGGCTCCCACGGCTTTGCGGCTTCAAGGTATCAGACGCTTTGAAGGGCCGCTGTTCACGTCTGACCACCTTTAAATGAGCTAATGGTGGTTTCATATTCCACCGTCGTGTCTATATGGCTCAAGATTTGTTTTTCGTACTGTAAGGCTGCAAAAGTCTATTCCAGATAGCTAACAGGAAATGAGCTTTTTTTTATTATTATTAGTTTATTTTATAATTTTTTTAAATAACTTTATTCAGCAAGCGTGCACTAATTTGATCAACAGTAAAGACATTTATAAAATATTTATATTTCAAATAACCCTGTTTTTTTTTTTTACTTTATATTCATCAGAGTTCTGTAAAAAAAAAATCTAAAACATTTAGCAGGCACAACTGTTTTCAGCATTAATATCAATAATAAGAAAAGATGTAATGATGCTAAAAATTCAGTAATGCCATCACAAGAATAAATTACGTTTTAAAATATATTCAAATAGAAAACATAATAATATTAAAAATGATAATACTTTAATAATATAAAAAATTAAACCTTACCCCACAGTTAATCTACAGTGTGAGATTTCAAGTCCCAATTGCTAAAGTAATAATTTAATAAATGCTTTTTTTTAAGCCTTATATAGAACTTTTATTATATTATATTGTGTTGTGTTATATTAATTATTTTTGAAGCCTATATGGAATTTTTGTGATATTATCTAAATGTGTATTATATTACATTATTTTATATTATATTATATATTTAGAATATTAATATTCTACCACTTTAAATATATTAAATATTCAGTATTAAATATACTTTACATTAACATGTAGTCATTTAGCAGACGCTTTTATTCAAAGCAACTTACAAATGAGGACAATAAAAGCAATCGAACCAAAAATGGTTAGTCTAATGCAGTACACGTAGCAAGTTTTTTTTTTTGTTAATAATAAATCAAAAGAAAGAAGATAGATAGAATAGAAAAAGAATAGAGAACACTAGTGTTAGAGGGTCAGTTTGTTTTAATAAATAAAAAGAAAACAAGTCAAAAGAATAGAGAACGCTAGTGTTAGAGGGTCTTTTTTAATAAATAATAAAGAAAACATATATATAAAATAGAAATAGAATAGAGAGTGCTAGTATTAGAGGGTCAAGTGTAGATGGAAGAGATAAAATATAATATAATATAAAAACAATTCTGCTGATCTTGGCTACATTTTTATAGTAATATATATTATATTCTATGTTATACTATATTTATTACTGTATATTCTATAACTATTGTATCATATTATATTATTTAAATTAGAGTAATAGTATTAGTGGTATATTTAATAATATACCACTTGTAAAATATTGAAATACATTAAATGTTCAGTAAATTAAAAATAATAATATAAAAATTAAATGTAATGATTGAATTTAGTTGTTTAGCTGAATTTTTTCTGTTGTATTTACAACAGATAGCTACATTTTAATGTATTTTTTACTGTTACTTTTAAACAGGATTATGACACATGCATATTGGCTTAGAGCTTGGTTTAAAGTTTTGTGAGCATATACATCATTGTATCAGCGAATATCTCTAATCCTGACCTCAGGCCATCCTCATCGTCACAGCACATGTTCTTCCTCCCTGTTTGCTTATGCTTCGATACTTCTTTTACAGCTGCGTAATTTATTTCATTAGAAAGCTCTGTCATTCCTCGTCTGTTCCACCTCATCCAGGCATCCATTTTTATTTCCATCTTCTTGTCTGCTTCCTTCTTGCTCTGAATAAACAACTTACCTCATCACCATTGTTGTGCCTCTGTTCTCTTGCTTGTCAAAGCGCCTCCTCGGAATTCAATTACCCAACTGTTGTTTTATGATGTTGTCTTGTCAGCTGATGACGGATTCATTATCTCATCACTCCGCTTGACAAGACTGTCACAACGCTCTCTTTGCCTTTTATTCCACTGCTCACGCTCGGCCTGCAAATGTATTCGCTCGCTCTCGTCTCCAGTCCTGCCTGTGATCTCCACTGCCATCTGCTCCGTGGCTGAGCTCATCGTGCCCTCAGACTGCTGGAAAACAATGAAACCCCGCTGTTGTGATCCTGTCAAAGACTCCATTGTGTTTTGCAGCAGAGGCCAGTTAACGTCTGATATGACTAAATATTTATGCACAAAGCGGCAGAATACGGTAGTCAGTTGTGTATGTATTGTTAAATGCAGCTCTGATCACATGCACTTTTGTTTAGGATATTTGTTGCTGTCAGTCACTAATGTAGGGACTGTCAACCTCTTCCAGGTTATGGAAAATGGCAGAAAAAAAATAGACAGACAAGCAGTATTTATATAAAAAAAAGAAATAACATTTACATTTTTAATAACATTAATAACATTTTTGAAAAATTCCAAATAAAATTCCAACCAGGCTTCCAAATAAATAAAATAAATATTATATGTTTAATATTTTAATATACTTTACTTTTTATTGTTAAACAGGGTTTATGTCACTTGTAAAATGTGTGTGTGTGTGTGTGTATATATATATATATATATATATATGTGTAAAAAAAAAAATTCAAGTTTTTGTTACAATTTGAGTGTTTCATCAAAATGGCTTAAAAATTATATAAATTATTTATAGGATTTTAAAAAAATGACCAGGCTTCCAAATAAATTTAATACATATATAGTTCAGTCATGAAACTCTAGATGGCGCATTCTGACAGGGTGTTAACGTAACTGATGATATTCAGAGAGTTAAATGACTTGGCACAAGCTGATTGGTTCATGCTGCATATGCAGCCAATGAGCTTACTGCCTTGCATTTATATGGCTGGCTAGCATTCACTTGAGATTCCTGCAGCGTGCTTTCAGAGTTTCTCTGAAACCCTCCACCTTCCCCAGCTCCACCTGTATAGATCTGCTATGGGTTTTTTTATATGCTATTTGTGCAGCAGCAGTATGTCTTAAATACTCATGGCACCGTATCGCCATATACATTGGCAGTAGCAAGTTCCTGTACGTGCTTGCAGCAGCAGCAATAATCTACAACTACAGCAATAACCAACAGCAGCAGCAATTCAGCATCAGCGTAGCAGATCTATTCCGCCAAGACCAATTACATTAACATTGTCATATCCATCACCATGCTAAAATCTTCAGAGAGTTGTCATGATTGAAATGGAATATTCCTCGCATTAAACCACCAATTTGAAAACGAAAGGAAGAAAATCTTTACATCTTTACTTTACATGACAATGTGGTTTCACCAAGGAGTAAAGAATATGGGTTAAAATATATTTAAAAGAAAATGTTAGCAAAAATAATATTATTTATTGTTGTGTAGTATATTTTAAATATATGTTATATAACAGTTGTATTGCTTGTCGTTGACAGCTGAATAAAAGTTTATTTTGGACCTTAGAGATGGTTATATATTATATAATATAGGCCTTTACTTAAATCTGGTGGAAAATCTTGGCAATTTCTCATATTTTATAGTGCCATGAGAGACATAAAAAGTGGTACATCAAAAGGCAATCCTTTCTATTCCTGTTACTTAACCCTCACACAAGGTCATTTTGCATTTCATAATGCATTATTCAGTCCTATCTTTTCGTCTCCCAGTTCATTATGCATGTGTGTTTGTGGTGTTTCTCTCTGTTCTTTCAGAAATGTTATGAATAAAGGGTCTGCAGATTAATTTAGCATTCATTCATTTGTTAGAAAATAAACTAAAAAAAAACACTCTGGGAATAGATCTTGAAGCTGTACACTTCTCTTGTCTTGGTTTGATAATGGCAGTGAGTTTGAAGTGAACATTCGCTGCAGGAGGTGCTTTGAGAGGGAAAGGTTCGTTCAGGGTGAGGGCAGGTTACTGGACGACTCTTTGCTCACAGTCATTGTTCAGAGAGGATTTTAAACTCAAATTTGGTACTTTTTCAGAGGTGACCTTTTGAAACGTCAGAATTTTCAATTAAATGCTGAATGCGGATATCAGGAAGAAAAGGACACGCTATCTTAACAGTGTCAAACTAACAAGAGTTTTTGGAGAAAAGTTATTTTTGGAGTAGAAAGTTTCTACTTGTACATAATACTTCTGTGTGTGTGGGTGTGTGTGTGTGTGTGTGTGTGTGTGTGTGTGTGTGTG